ACCGTACTATATATATATATATATATATATATATACATATACAGCACCGCCAATGTAGTTATGAGGGTGCGGACAGTAGACGTAACGCACTACCTACAAAAATTAACTTAGTAGTCGAGATTAATTGTTGTTTTCCCGTGTTTCCTTTATTATTATTATTATTATTCTTTTTTTTTTGTGGGGGAAGGTCTGCATGCAGACATAAGTTAATTTTTCTTTTGATTTTACTTTTTTTTCCATTTGTCGGGAGGGAGGAGGAGCGTGCCTCGGAGTCGCCGACCCACCCACCCACCCAGGCCTCTCCGCCTCGTGCAGGGAGGGAGGTGGTTAGGGCGCTCCGGCACTTCCCCCCCCCCCCCTTCCCTCCGTGAGTGTGGGAGCTGAGGCACGGCTGTGGAACGTCGCGTTGGGTTTTGTTTGTTGCTGAGTTTGTCCTTCCGGGCGCGCTGCGTTGACGGTACAATTCCTCTTGCTTATATATATATTTACGTTTAGTTACAGTGCAGGCAAGGTGTGGGAAACTTTTTTGGAGGGCAGTCCCTGTGGGAACAGAGGCGGTTACTTCTTGCAGAGTGGACGACGACCATCGTGCCACGGTGTTGGGGGTGCGGCGTCCGTGCACTCCACACCGGTGGCTTTGGTGTCACCAAGCAGCGCGGGGCGCGCCTTTTCTCCCACTATGCGGTGCCGAGGTCTTAGCTGGGGACGGTGGGCCTTGATGGCGTATTCGTCGGCGGCCCCTCCACAGAGCTCCGCCGCCGGCATGAACGGCCCTCCACTGGAGGGCTTAGCTAACGGCTCCAGCGCACCGCCTCACAAGTGCCGAGCTGTGAGGCGCAAATAAAACGTCTTGACGCTGCTGAACTATCGCAATGTCCGCCCTGCGTTTGGGGCTGCACGGCCGAGGTACGTGGCGGCGAATCGACTATCGCGTGGTTGGGGGGTGGAGGGTGCTCTGGGCATGTGGGTCTCGGCGTTGGGTGCCGTGGTGGCTGCTCAGTTCGCCCGCGACCCGTTGCCGCACGCTCTCCAGCCGCTGTCGTCACAGCGTGCGTCGCACCGCCTCCCACAGGCACCGTTGCCTGGT